GTCATTTTCTTTTCTAATCCTGTTCGTTGATGATCCCAACTGATAGACTGTTCTTACTTTTTGAAGGCACTGATGTTTTACTGTGGGTGGGTGGGGAAAAGCCCTATACCAGGAACTATAACGTTAAAAGAGAAATTTTGACTAATCCTTTTGTAGTTTAAAGCACCATAAACTAGTAGATTACAGCTTTTCTCACTTGTTCACCCATTTTTACCATTCAACTCTGAGTTTGCCATTTGATTCTATTGATTAGCGGTTAGTGGAATGTTTTTTCCGAAGGAGGGTCTATGGTTTCTTTAACTTATGTAAGTGGGTTCAAAATTTCAAATCGATAAAGACAGAATGAGCAAGGAGGGAGGGTTGTGGAAGTACAGTTGCAAGAAAGAAAAATTGTGATAATCTGTATGCAGTTAAATCTTTCGTTGCATGTCAACATTTGCAGAACTTCGATCCCAAATGAACCGCTTTCAAGAAAATTCCTAAGAAATGGCCATCTTTATCAAACGCAAACGGTTGCAGGCATTTAAAATCTTGGTACCAAATCGGTACGTTCAACCTTTCGCCTGGTTAATCAGTTACTGATTAGGATTCCTCCCATTCAATTTTTTACTATCGTCGTCGTAGGCGATGTTTTTAAGCCTTTTTTCTTGCCTGAGTTACATAATTCAGTCTCTCTTTCATGCAACCAAACTTGCATATGGTCCTCTATTGCTATCTTAAATCTCTTTGAATAATTCCCCGAGGTCACATTTTTATCTATTGCAAGCAGGCTTTGCCATTTAAAGTTTTATATATCATTGCAGTTACAGATAAAATTCCCACTTCCAGTTCTTATTTTCAGCAGGTATTGGACCTTTGATACCTAAGTTACACCATATCTCTCGACTTTGATTTGGTACAATAGAGCCGCGAGAAACTCAAAAAATGGAATCCAAACCTAGCGTTAGGCATTTACTCTATCCTCCATGGACACCAAAAATAAAATAAAATAAAAAGAATAAAAACAATTTAAAAGTCAAAATGGATCAGACACAGCTTTCTAGGCAGCAGTTATGCATCAATTAAAGCAGCCGATAAACAGCTTACTCAGAGCCCAGTGCATATTCATCATCTCCACATCAAACAGGCAAAATGAAATTGATAAATCATTAAGCGAAAACCGAAATCACCATACAACAAGAAAAAACCATCAACGAAAATTATCAATAATAATGAAGGATTAACGAAGGAGTCCTCAGCAATTATGCTTATAGTTGTCATCAGATGAAAACAATCAGGTCTCAAAGATTTCATGCCATCATAGGATCCCCATATCATACACATTAATCCAAAATAAAGAATAACAGTAGTAGTAATAGTAGTAATAATAATAATAAAGATAACCCACAACAAAACAGCACAGCACAGAGATCAGAAGACAGGCAAGATTGATTTGGCAGGATATAATTCACTGCGCCTGTGGAGTGCGGAGGCGCAGCGACTCAATTTCTGCTCAAACTCTAAGCCTCTGGCAAACAAAATATATGTTCAAGAAACCAGAAACAACCTTGATTGTATTTAGGGTTTCAGTTAAGAGGCATGTAACTTTTTATTTTAGATAAAACAGATTTAAAAACAAGCAAAGATAAGTAAAGAGAACCAAAAACACCAAAGAAGAACACCGAAACATAGTGTGATAAAATCCTTAATAGTTTGTGCTTGGTTTGGTCATGGGTTTATATAGTGATGGACTCCAATAGCTGCTAGGGTTTTTCGGCTCTGCAAATTACCAAACACTCCTTGTAAAGTAGGCCCGGAAGAGCCCAGTAGTAAGTCCATGTCCATAACTCTTTGCTAAAGCTTTGAATCCAAACGCGACCCATATCACATTTTTCTTTTCTTTTTTTCCTTTTTTTTTTTCAATTCAGATGCATTAAACCTTTTTCTTTCAACTTCTTTTGATAGTGAAAACATAGGATTAAACATGGTTCATTAAAGGCTTGGCTTCGACGGCAGATGGGTTGCTCTTACTGAAAAAGTTTTGGGTTCAAATTGAAAAAATACCTACAATTTATGAGAAAGAAATTTCTTATAATGCTCCAATTTGAGTATAAAAGCGCTGTTTATATCTCCGATAAAAAATACATATATATTAATTTCAATATGCTCTTTCTTTCCCATCCAGATAAGGTATCATGGCAATAAGTTCACCTGAATTCTACTGTACATCCTCATTTCGCTATCATTGCTGGTATCAAGCAGCTTCTTGATCGTGATTGGCTGCGAATGAAACAACAAAAGTGTCAGATTTCATGGCAAATAATTCCAGCTCTCCTAACTCCTCCTCATGGTCATAGCAGTATGCTGGATAGAGATTTTTTTTTCCTAGGCCTTTTTCCTTTTCTCTTGCTATCCTATCTATGTACCACAAGATAATAACTTTCACTTCACTTGTGCAGAAAATTATTACGTACATCAAAACTATTGATTTTTTTTTTTAAAAAAAAAAGATTGATACTTTCGGTTCGGTTTTTTTTTTTTTTTAAAAAAAAAACCATTTAAAAAAGTGTATTGCCACGAGTTAAGGTAGAGTCTCATTAGTGACAGTATTAAATAATTGTTCTCAAATACCTCATAATATCTGTATACCCTTTGTAGTTAAAAGAAAAATATCTATCTCTGTAGCCCAGAATGCATAACTTGCTCATTTGACATTATTCCACATTCAATTTAATAATCGTACTTGATCAGCACTCAGTGCGATTGGGAGCAAGCAGTCAATGGGTGAATGATTCAATTTACAGTTTCAGCTAGCCAAAATTACGTGTTTGACAAGAAAAAGGACCCTGATGAACTAGAATCCCTGCTTTATAGACAGAGCCAAAGTCCAAGCATTTCGTGGAATTTTTCAACTTGATTTTTTCCAACTTCCAGAGCACGTTTGCAGCAGCTTCCGCACAGCTCATGTATGCTCACCACCTGCCAGTCAACGCCTCCTCCGGTAAGCCGACTTTTCACAAAACCAATTATGATTGACTACATATTCGTTGGAGTAAGTTGTAATTTAGTCCCTGTGGTTTAACAACATAAACAAATTAGTCTCTATGGTTTCGGAAAGTAATTAATTAGTCCATGTGGTCTGAAATCCATTAACAATCTAGTCCCTCTTCCCCTTTTTTCCGTTGATGCAGCACGGAGCTTTCTTTGATTTAGTGGTTTTTCTTGTGAAAATGCCCCTATTTCCCGACATTTAAAGTGCGTCGACGTCAAATCTAAAGCTTTGTCCACCAAGGAGATTGAGAGCAAATAATTAAATAAATAAAAGCACAATAACATGGTACAATAATTTTACAAAAGTTACAAACCCATCATTAAATGATCATATATCTTTTTAAATTTGAAAAAAAAAAATACACGATTCCATAATTCAATTGTTTTGCTTCAAACTACAACATACCATAATAATCACAATATAATACAAGAATCAAAGCATAGTAAAACAGAAAACACACTATAATAAAAGAATCAAAGCATAGTAAAGCACAAAACACACTATACAATAAAAACCAAATAAACTCTTTAACTTCTTAAAATATATCACTATAAATCAAATATCTCGATTTATTATTACGATTTAACCTTTTAATAAGTCGTGAGAGATAAAATTCTCATCGATCCTCTAATCTTAACAAAAATGCTCCATTATTTAAAGAAAAAAAAATCTTAATCCCAAACAAATTTATAATTTATTAGGATCATTATGGAATAAATAAAAATAAAAGGTTAGAATTGAACTTGAAGGGTTATAGTTCTTTCTCATTCCTAAATCCTCAATTCCACTAACCACTCATTCCATTAATGTTTGATAGGTTTTCTTTCTCTAATTAAATCTTCACCTCACTTCTCTCAAAGTTCAAAAGCAAGATCTCTAATTACTCTCATCCAAAGAAGGCTAGAAAATGTTTTATTAAAGTCAAAACACTTTCTGATCATTTAAAAAAAAAAAAAATCATTGATATTGGAATAACAAGTCCTGTCACTGCTGCTTTCCTAAATCTAAAAAGTGATATGCCCTTGGAAAAGAGTAAATTATAAACTAGTCCTTCTAGTTTTACAAAACAAATTAAATAAATCTTTTTTTTTCCAAAAACTAATTAAATAATTCCTTAATCATATTTAGTTTATTACTTTATTTTAGAAAATATTTTATTTCCTCATCAAATTTTTCATATTATTTATTTTTTCTTATTTCTATTATATATAAAAAATAAATTAGAAATGGGAAAAAAGACTAAATTTAAAAATATAAGGATTAATTTTTAGTTTTTAAAACTAGAAAACTATTTATTTGTTTTGTAAAACTAAAAGGATTAAATTATAATTTACTTCAATTAAAAACCCTTTCAATCAAATTAAGAATCTAGCAAGTAGTAGCTCGAATAGTCAGAATCGACCTGGAAACTTCCAAGAGAAGGCTAAAAAGGATACGTATTTTTTTATTTTTGTTTTATTTTGTTATTTTTGTTTTATTTTGTTGAGCACAATAAAACAAACCTACCAGCAAAATGACACCAGTTACCAAACAGCCAAATTAGGAACAGTGAACATCAAAATTCAAAAAGGAGAATCCTTCCTTCCATAAAAGACGCTCAGTCTCTACCCTCCCTTACGTCACTACATACGTATCTCACAAATTAAAACTGCCCACGTGTCCAAATGTTGGACTTTCCGAACTCTTGTCCATCAAGTCACATGTCCCCAATTCACTGGACCCCTTCAACTTTTAGATTGTACTTTGTTAAAACAAATCTTATTATTAATACATTGTTCGTCCAGTAATATATAGATCTCATTGCTTACAACATCTCGTAAACATAATAATTTCTCGTACCCTACGGACCTTTTCTCTCTATATATAATACAACAAATGTGCCGTTCTCTCCTATTGTTTAGCCTCCTCTAATTTCATCTCCAACTTCTGAGGAAAAACCCCAAGCCGAAGCCGACCTTTCTCGCCAAAAATGTGCCCATCTGGGACAAGTTTAGCTGCAGAGACCAAAAGGGGTGGTGCAAAATCAGATTTCAGGCCAGCGTTTGATGTTCTTGATGCAGACCATGATGGGAAGATAAGCAAAGATGACCTTCGCATGTTTTATGCCGGGTTTTCAAGTAATGGTGCCGATGATGATATTATAGGGTCAATGATGTCTGTTGCTGATTTTAACAAAGATGGGTTTGTTGAGTATGAGGAATTTGAACGTGTTTTGGACGGTGTTAGTGAAAACAAGAAATCTTCATCATCAACAAGGTCTACTTCTGGGGTTATGGAGGATGTGTTCAAGGTTATGGATAAAGATGGGGATGGAAAATTGAGTGTTGATGATTTGAAGAGTTATATGCAATGGGCAGGGTTTGATGCTACTGATGATGATATCAAAGCTATGATTAAATTGGCAGGTTGTGCTGTTGGCGGTGATAAATATGTTGTCACTTATGATGATTTGCTTAAGATTTTGGCTCTTGATAATTCTTATGTTGCATAGGACTTTTGTAATTTTGATCTTCGAATTTGTCCCTTTTTTTTTTTTTTTTTTTGAAAGAACAACATGTGGATGCTCATTAACTATGATGTTTATGTTCTGCCACATGAAATTGTTCTATAGCAAATTATGATTTTTGGTGGAATGTGAGATGCCAATTGAAAACGAATCCCTGTCTTATATTTTATGCAATGCTAGCTTTGTTTTTGATGCTAATTCTTCCGTTCAATGGCTTATTTTCTGTCTTATGCTGCTTGCCTATTAGATATTCCACTTGCTTCTGTGGCGACAAACACGTGCTGGTCTTCTACACTAATATTCACGTTTAGCTTCTTATCACCACAAAATATAAATTTTTTTTTAAGGAAAAATGTAGTATACTAGAAATCAGGCAATAGACAAGCCATTGGGGCCTTGGGCAACAGGAAAAATCATTGTGAAAGAAGCACAAAATAATACATTCTACATCTGCTTCCGGAGTCTTGACTGAAATCTCTCAAGAGCATATTCTAGCACAAAATTCCAAATGTGATGGTAGGAATGGCAATCCCCTGAAAATTTTGCCTTGCCCTCGTCCCATATCTGATGCGGGAGAATATTTCTCATATTATTCTCATCCCAAAAAGGGATGGGATCTCTGTAGAATATCCAGGTTCTGTTTAATTTTTTGTTTTCGTTTCATTCTATCATCAAATTTCAATCTATAGTAAAAAGAAGAAGATAATTTATATAAAAAATAAACATTAAAAATCAATAATCATAAATTTTATATAAGGTATAATTATAATTTCAGAAATGGAACGAGACAAATAGAATGAGACTAGATTAAATATCATCTCCATCTTATCCTCGTTCAAAATAAATATGAAATGATCTTATCCTCGTTCAAAATAAATATGAAATGAGGTGTACTCATTTTATCTTATGTCAATTCGAAATATCCTCACATTAATCGAGATAGGACAATGCGGCTCCGTCTAGATGGGGCAAATTGCCATCCCTATGTGATGGATTCACCAACTCAATTTCTGCCCTACAGTGAGCCGATTAGACTGGCAATCTGTACCCAAAGATGTGCATATGGAGATGTAAAAAAATTCAACCGTTGCTAAATGCTCAACTTCCTGTTTTTCTGGGGGGCAAAGCACGCTGTATGAGGCGTGTAAAAGCCAACGAGCCTTGTGCTTTACTGGCAACTATGTTTCTGTTTCCCCATGACACCTCTCCCTTGTAATCCTAAAAACGCTAGGACATGGTGCTACAAAATTTATCCACGCAAAGGACACAGCAGAAACTAAAAACTGTTCTGCACATGATCTGGAAAATCAAACCATTGATAGCAAGCATTAATGTGTATAATACAAGTAAAAGATTAGACATTTTGACTCAAAATCAATATTACAAGACATTTGGCATCACATTCATGAGCATCTCTTATCACGCCATCAATTTCCACATCCTGCTCAGACAACGAAAGTACTAAGCTAAGTTACAACTCGGAGTAGCATGATTAGATCTTTTCAAGGGGAGAACTGAAGCCATCGTGAATTTCTGGCTCGCTGGTCTACCAATGCATTGTTAACCCAGAGCAGCTGGATTGCTTAGACCAAATCTATTTTCCCATTCTCTAAAGGCTTCTTTACGAACTTGTAGCATACAAAGGTAAGTAAATCACGTTCCATCTCTGTGATTTCCATGCTGCCACAGAATAGAAACCTTATCAGTCGGCAAATAGATAAATAATTTTTTTGTTACAAGATATCAAATGTAACACAACCGACAATGAAGGGTTGCCATGTAAAGGGCAATAATTGCTGTCATTAAATTACCTGTACTCAGGCTCAAAGTCAAGGCCAGAAAGATATTGCTTGGCTTTGCAGATAACGAATGTGTCGAGCCGTGGCACTGGGACTATTGATCATACAAATCAGAAGAATGAGAAACATTATTTTCATTAAAGAAACTGACTAGGTACACGTCTTCTGTATGCACTCAAGTAATTGAAAGTACAAAAAATGGAGAAAATCTGAGGAAAGATTAATTTTGACAGTTCTTGAACCTGGACACAGACACCCTTATTTGGAATTTAGGAATTGTCATGTTGGAAAGAAAAATATAAAACTGGATGGCTAAACAAGCTCATTCAATCATCAGGTAGCCTATGATTGGACAACGTAATGAATAATATTATAAGGCACCCGATCAAAAATTTCATGGAACAGGGTGCAGCAGTGAGCTGCTAACAAGCTCATTCAATTGTTGGGTAGCCTATGATTGGATTGGCATTATGATCACAGAGTAACCTCACGATGCAGTTCTTGGACGCATGTAACTATAAAAAGGCTGAGTATGGTCGAATCCTTCTCTCAATCACTGAGCTTTTGGATGTTACAAGGAAAACAGGTTTGTCCACAAAACCAAAAATATTCTCTCAATGAGAATATTATAGTTCCTACAACATGCATAGCCAAAAAAGGAAAGCCATCCCAATATTCCATTTGCATAGTCCAAACACAACAAACAACTTGAGCCTCTTGGATACTGATTCTGTAAAAGCCAGCTCAGGAAGAACCCATTAACACGCAAAAATACGCCACAAGTTTCCAAACAAATTAAAAAGATTCGCATGTGCTGATTCGATATGCAACTTTACATCTTAGACAGATGAATCAAAAGCATCAGAACCATATATAATAAAAGACAGCTATGCTTCAAAGTAAGAATAAAAGTGATATGTAATGACAGCGATATACTCCTCAATAATTGATTGCTTTATATGGACAGGATTTCAGGCAGATTGACAGAACAGTCTCGTGAAGATGACTTCTCAAATCATCCCTAGTGCTGTTAGTGATCATATAATGTTAAAAAGACAGTCACAACCTTGTTTAGAAATGACTAAAGGTGAAAAAGTAATCAAATCCAAAGACCAAAATTCAATGAGCAAAAAGATTTGAAGGCACAGACATAATAGATGTGCAAATTAGCAAGTAAATTATCAGTTCCAGAATAAAATGACAGGACAAAGCTTGGACGCAAAAAGCTCAATAAGATAACGCTACTCAGTCCCAAGAATTTAGATGCCTTCTTTTGTAGTAAGGCATGTGATGTGGGTATCGTTTATTGCTTAAGGGCATTGGAACTTAGGGGACCAGTATCTCAAGGAACTTAGCAGCAATTTCAGCAACGATAGGGCTCATTACATTCCTAGGTTTGGTTTCACAAAATCATTTCAGGCATTAGCTCCAACTGTATTCACATCATTATTACAAAGTAACAGCAATACTTCATGAGAGCAATAGTTCGGTGCATCCAACAATAGAAAGGCTAACAACACTCAAAATCCTTCTCTTGTCACTTAGATTGTGAAAATTACCGGAATGACAAGTTTTTCCAAAAGCTGATAAATATGGTCTTGAGAAGAATATAGAATTTCTACAACATGCTTAATGGAAAATGTATACAATTTGTATATTCCATTTGCATATTCCAAACACAAAAACAAGTTGGGCTTCTTAGATAATTATTGAAAATGCCAACTAGGAATCAAAAGGTTACCATGGAAAGCTACCTCGCAAGCTTCCAAACAAAATATAAAAATATCTGCATGATATGGCTCAACATACAACTGACATCCAACAAGAGATTGAAGGGTAGTACTGAAACCTTACATACATGCATGCATAATAAATGACAATAATGTTTCAACGCTTCAAAGCAAATGTAAAAATGAAAGCGATTGAAGAGTACCCATATCATCCTCTTCGCTGGTAATAGATTGCTTCAATATGGACTGGTAGTTATCAGGCAACTTTGCCAAAACAGTCTCATCAAGATGGCTTCCCAAATCATCCGTGCACCTGCAATCACACAACCAACATTACAATTAATAATTCGATTAACCCCAAACCACATTTTTCACAAACAAGACAATCAATCAAACCCTTAACCTTCTCGCAAACATTTGCTCCTGCCTAGATAGCCGGTTTAGAGACTCATCAGTTTTCAAAATATAGAACAAATACTTCTCAATCTGCATTGCAAACCCAACAAGCAAATCAACTTCAACATACTCTCCAAACACAGCATAACAAACACAAGAACTTACTACCTTTTGAAGGCGAACCCGCAGATATGATCTCAACAAAAATTGGGTCCTATCCAAGTCCATTTGGTAAAGAGACACAGTGAGTGGATCTATATTATCTGCTTCAAACATCTCCACATTTTGTTCCTACAAAATACACACCATATTCACCTCCATTTAAATGATTTATGAAGGAAAATCGCGACATGATCTTCATTTTCAATTCTTTATGTAGCAAAATAGCGACGAAAACAAAACAACAACAATTCAATTTAAGCTTCTTATTCTTATTTTTTAGCTTCATATCATTGGATTTACAATGAAGTTAAATAATAATAATAATAAGAAGAAGAAGTATGTAAATATAAATAATCAGTCCAAGTTCGGCGCTAAAGCAAGCTTCTGAAGGAAGAATTACTTGAACATAATAAAATCAAAATAAAAGTGTTAATACGGTCAGTAAATTTTAATTTTATTTTATGCGAAAATGAAAATTACTCTCTAATTCCATTTTGATTTTCTCAGGAAACAAACAGAAAGTTAGGGTTTATTATGTGAAAAAGAAAAAAGTACCGCTAATTCAATTTGCTCTTTGATTCTTTGAACTAAAGAAGCTTCAAACTGAAGAATCTCCGGAGCAGATTTCTCGTTACGCCACGCTCTTTTCAAGAGCTCAACATCGGTCGTCGAAATCAACGTCTCATAATCATCCATCACGCTCGTTGATTCCTCCGTAGCCATCTGATCTGATCACTTCTGAATCTCTCTGATTTTTCCTCTTTTGACTTTCAAAATCTGTTACCCAAGAGATTAATTGAAAATGTTAAATATTAATTTGAGAGGGAAAATATAAAGGTAAAATTGGAAATGGCGCCAAATGGAGCTATTCGGTGTTGTAGAGGAGACAGATCGCGAGTTTGTGCGTGAATCTAACGCCATTGGATGGCCGTGCAATGGACGGTTGTGATGGAGTCAGATCCACGCACAAACCAGATATATGACTCCTCTTTTTTGGCAGAGAAGATGGGCTTGTTGAGAGGGGCCTTTAGGTAAGGGAAAATAAAGGGGCAATGTGTTGTCGGTAATGGGTTTTGATCGTACTGGCTTTTTATAGGAGAGGAATGGAGTTTAGGGTTGATCATTGATGAGCGAAGAACAATATTGCCACTACTTGTGTTCCTTTTTGTGGTGGGTATCACTTGGAATTCAATGGTGGAAATCCACATGTACTTGTCTTTGAAGCATTCCTTGAGAGAGACGAGGTCGAGTGCTAAGGAACTGAATATTACTCGTTTATTATTAGATTGAATTAATTCTTTATTTCTAATTATTACCACAAAATCTCTTATTTATTTATGGATTCATAAAAAATTAGTCTTGCTGTGTTGTTTTAAAAAGATAAAAAAATAATAATAATTGATAGCAAACAAAAACAAATACTAATAAACTAATGAGTTGTGAATAAGCAAAATTTTTATTAAATCTCCTTTAAATTTGGTTTCAAATATTTGGTTTACTACTGGACAACCTTTATATATATATATATATATATATATATATATCAAATTCTAAATTGAGAGATTTTAAAATGTCTGAATTCCAATCTTTAATCTCAAACTATGTGACAGGAATTAAAAAACAAAAAGAGGCAAAAAGGGTTCCGGGAGATGCGCACCATGCATTTGCATTGGACCAATTCCTGTGTGTGGATGCTTGTGGATTCTTAAAATTGATGCGGTCACCGTTGCCCCTTGTACTTGGGACTAATTCTTGAACTTGGCCCATGGACTATAGAGAGCAAGAGGCCTCTTGCCTAATTCAAATTCTCTTCTTTTTGTTGGTTTTTTGCGTTAAAACTTGAAATTCTATTTCCCCACCTTTCTGGTCACTCTGCCCACAAAATCCAGCATGTTTTGCTCTGTCCAACTTAGGACAATAAACGAACATCATTGCTTTTCTTTCTTATTCCAATTGAACCACTCAATCTTAATATCAGCAAAGTCAATCGTTATAATTAATTACCAACAGCCAAGTTGGTTTGTCGTCGAGCAAGTAATTAATTAACCTTAATAGCTAGAAACAGCTACCAAGACATATGAAGTCCAAATGAACAATCAACATCGATCAGGCTAGCATTTGGTCAAATATGATAGTAAGGTTAATAGAGGAGTCAAATAGAATTCAGAGTCTGCACAGTGTGCATGAAGGATGCAAAATCTCATATATGACTACTTGTACGAGGTAAATAAGTTCCAAAATCTAGAAAAAATGAAAATTTGTGTCAAATTGTTAAGTTTTAGCTTCGTGCTACAAGTTTGGGAGTTGAGACCCTTCAGTACTTATGTCCAGGTCCATCGACTTCCTATTCTTCTCTAGCTAGCTAGATTTTTAATTTTTTTGCTATAATTAACAAGGTATTTTCAATATTTTTTACAGGTTAAAGATTAATTTCGTTATTGGTTGGATCTTAGTTAGATGATTCACATATTGTGGCCTTTTTTCTTGGATACGAACTATGAGGTTTGAAAGGAACAGGCAATGATAAACTAAGACGTTGACATCTTCTCCGTCAACTCCTCGACTTTAATACACTACAATTCCAACAAATGCAAGCGTCACACGCTGCATCAATTGCCCGAACGATGCCGTCCATGAGCTGTAAAAAACAGCAGTACGTTTGTTCACAGATGTTTCATCCTATGTTAAATCCGCTAGTTCCCTTAAAAAAAGGCAGTTTGTTGTTCAAAAGTGATGGATATTCTGATCATAACCTATCACGTTTGGTATTATTTTTGCATGATATTATTGTGCAACCAAAAAGATTTATATTTGATGCTTCTTTGTAGCTTGTGTTCATTGTAGTAATACGTGTAAATTGAAATTTATACGGACTACAAGAAAGCAATGGATTCATGGAAAGGAAAAAAAAAAAAAGCGTATGAGGAATAATGAGTCATTGGCCAAAGGATCCAAATCTAAATTAGTCATCAAGATTCTCTAACAGTTTGTTCGGAACATCCAGATTTGGGCAGAATTGATTTCAGTTCTGCAATATCTTTCAAATCTCATGTTTCCAAAGAATTTCACTCAAGGAATTGGACTCAATTTTTTAAGAAATATTGTATGGAATTTAATTCCATTTTGAATTTGCAGCTTAAAAAGTGTGATTTGCTCTAACTGAAATAAAAATTATATATCTATATGTACTTATATAATATTAAAAATTTTTCATTTGTCTCTAAATTTTTTTTAATTGCCCAATCTATCTTATCATTTTTTTCGATTATGGACAAATTTTTTGATTGAAATGCAAATAATAATAATAATAAAATAAAATTCTAAAAACTTTTGAAATAAAACATACAGATAATGTGACTTTAAGTGTTTTTTTTTTTTTTTTGCATTTTTTTTTCATATTCTATATTAGTTTAATAAGCCTAGTTTTACTTTGTGTTTAGTTTATTTGGCTAAGTTCATTGCCTTGTTTACGGTTCTAACCCACCACCACCACCACCACCCCCTCTCTCTCTCTCTTCTCACAAAGGTAGAACTGACGTCTGGAAATACTGATGAGGACTTTCTAAATGCTTAGATTAAGATTGTTCTAGTTAGATGAGTATTACACTCCGCCTGAATAGAAAGACCGGATGATTGATCTTACTTTCAATATTGGAACTTTGGAGTGTGTATGATGTTTTAGTTGGATGTTATTGGATTTTTTTTAATTTCAAAAACTATTTAAAGGAACGAGCTTTTTTTTAGCACATTTATTATCAAGTATTCAATTTCTTTCACAATGAATATAAGATAACCATACAATTTTTTTCTTCACACATTAGATCTTAAGTTAACTATTTTTTATCAAATTATAGTACACGAGAAATTAGTTAATTTGGATCCTGACACCAGCATTAGAGGTCAATGAAAATTCTCCCAAAAACTAAATTAAAAAGTAAGATTTTCTCTCAATCAAATACATAATTTTTTTCACAATCCATATAAAATAACCCAACAATTCTTGTTTGGTTTGGAGTTGGGTAGCTCGGTGATGGATCATTGCCATCTTGAAGCGAGGAAATTATAAGGTATGGTTTATTTTACCCTTCTCACACAGTGCCCTCATAATCAAGGTACATCAAAACAAAGTACTGTTCCTTAGCAATTAGGGACTTAATTAGTTTTGTTTGCAATGAAACCACAAACTATAACTGAGTAATTATTTCTTTTGAAGAATGGGATAGAAAAGTTTTCCCTATCCGATCCTGGTTAATTGCAATTGATACATAATCTCCCAAGCTACTTCATTAGTAATTAGTAGCAAGCTGTTTCCTAGCTATGATCATCTTTCTATAATTAAATAAAACACATATAATTAACCTGGTGCTATAATCATTAGGTAGCTAGCCATAGCCTTTTTATTTCCATGCAAGTAAGAATATCTTCTGGCCTAAAAGCCAGTCTTGCATCACACACAATAAATACGTTCACGTAGAAACTAGTTACTACTATTTCACATGAAACAATAAATGTGCCACACATACATACCGTGGTTTTCATGGCCGGAAACATGTTTGTTTCCACTTAATTTATTAACAATACAGGCAAAGCCACACAATACTAGTATATATATAAGCTTCACGAACTTAATTCTCAAGCTTGATTAATTAGTTTCTGCCTGGTCTAGTTTCAGTTGTGTAATGGTGGTGTGTCTCAGTAGATGATCCTTCTGATCCATAGTTACCAAAGCTGCGGTTTGTTTCATCATCATCATCAATAGAACCGTCGCTGCCAGTTTTAGTTTCTGTGTCGGTGTTGCCCTTGTTTGAAGCAGGGGTACTGTTGAGATCATAAGCACCAGCGTTACCCTTTCGACCAAGAGATGATGGTTCGCTCAACAGATGACGGTTGGCCACCTTAGGCTCCAAGGTTGTGAGCTTTTCTGCATCAGCTTGCAGAGCTGCAAACATCAACAGGAAAGCAATGAAGAGGGCTAGCAAGATCTTCATCATGATCATCAAATACTTGTCTGCAATACCCTGTAAACAAGCAATAATTAATATGTTAAACCATTAGTTAAGATATATATATATATATATATATATATATATTTGCCAAAAACAAACTAGCAATAGAAAACAAGATAAAGAAACTGAAGCTAGATATATAGGTTAGAAATTATACATATAATTTGCTTTTGTCTGAGCTATGTGGAACACGGCGTTCTAGCCAGCTAGTTAGGGTTGTTATATATAACCAGTTTTTTTTTTTTTTAGTCACTGTTTAACAATTACAATTGGATTATGAGATCAATGAATGATCAAATTAACTGTGCAAGCACTGAAAAAGCAAGAATCTAGTGGCATTATCACCATGTCGTACCGCCATTGGAAGAGGCAGTAGCCACCAAAGAAGTAATTATGATTAAGATTGATAATTAGGGCAATTTCATTGTAAATGTTCAATTTTGTCATAATTAATCGTGGCTTATGCTGCCATTTTAGGGTTCATTAGTGGTGATAAAATTCGAAAAGGTGATAAAAATCTTATCACCTATAATAATTAATGATCATAATTACATTTTTTGCCATTGGGTTGACTATATATATGTGGGTATGTTTAAATTCAATAATTATCTGGCTCAATCCTATGCATCATTGCATGGTAAAACAATTATTCCCAACGTAGTCCTTTTTTGACTGTAAGACGAATAACTTCTATCAATTTACGTGCAGCCTATGTTTCATGCTGGCTCTCTAAAACAGCAGGTGCGCCTGAGTACGGTTAATTAGCTAGCCTGATATTTTATGTCACTAATGTCTCGCACATATTCCATTTTTAACAATTCAATAGAAGATAACGGTGGCTTTTATCGTCATTTCAATTTAATGGGAATTATGGGAAAATAATTTTGAATAAAAATACAAGTTATGTAACTTTAAATGCCAATAATGCCAGAATTCGTCTTTATTTTCCAATAAGTTGTATATTTGACTAGCAGTGTCGTTGTTGCTCGCATATTTCCACAAGTCTGTTTACAATTTTCAATTCTTCTATATTAACATCTTGAATATCTTAATAACAAAACAAAAACCATAGTCACGGATTAAAATCTGCTCTAATTAAATCTTGAAGTAATATTGTTTGTTAGAGCAATTATTTTAACGTTGAAAGTACTGAAACTATATATATATATAGAGAGAGAGAGAGAGGCGCAATTTTTTTAAAAAAATTAACAGGTTAGCAATGCATGGTACAGTGAAAAACCCTAATGACTTTCTCTCAACCTAGAGAGCATGAGAGTATGTTACATCCCATGATCTCGACCCACCAAGAAATTAGACCCCCTGACCACCCTCCTATTGGCCTTCGTCCCCATCTACACAAAGACTCCTGGCAAGTGACTCGATCAAACACAACCTCGACCTCTAAGCCCTCTTTTTTGGATAAAATACTCATGGCTCGTGAGAGACGAAAAATAGAAAATTATGCAACAAAGGTTAGCGAACCAGTCGATCTTATTGCGTAAGGTGTTGTTAAAAAGGATTTCAAAGACGGTAGTTCGTTATTCCCTAACTTCACAGTTGACTTTCAATTTCTCTCTCCCTAGGAGTCATCAAGATCACTATAAAAAAAACCTATCAAATAGCAATAGAAATCTAAAATGAATTAAAATTTATCACTAAATAGCGATGGATTAGCGAACGAATTATATTATGAATAGTGAACAAGCTATGACTCGTTATTGAGATGTGAATTTTAATGACAGAATACCAACGGATTTTCACCGACATACTTAATTCGTCATTGAATATGGTGATAAAACATTCACAATTATTTTAAAGATGGTTTAACAAGGGAATTGAGAGGGAAATCAGCGACGAATTTACAAATATCATTGCTATTTTTGGATTTAATTTTTTCGTACACTTGAACGTATTTATATATTTATTTGATTTGAATTCATATAATTTTAATTTTATTGAATAATATTTTGTGTTATAATAAGGTGTTATTTTTATTTATTTGTTACTACTATTAACATTAAATGACTATTATTTTTGGATTTTTAATATTTTTGTTAATCCGAATGCATTTATATATTTATTTGATTTGAATTTATATTATTTTAATTTTATTAAATAATATTTTGCATTATAATAAGATGTTATTTTTAGTTATTTGCTACTATTATTAACATTAAATGACTATATATATATATATATATATATCTTTTATTTAGTGACGGATCGGCAACCAAATTAGCGATAAAAAATAAATCATTTGTGACGGACATTGAAACGGTCGTTAAATAACGATGAAAATAGAAACAGATTTATGAGGAAAATTAGCGACTATAATTACCGATGGATTTTCATTGCTATTTAGGGATGAAAATAATGAAGAATAGCCATGGTTTTGTGAGAGATTCAAGACTTAAAAGATAACTCGTTTATTTGTATTTATTGACAAAAATACTTCACAATAGTGATGAATATTCTGTCATTGATTAGCAACGAAAAAATATTGGTTTAGCAATGAAAAATTTTATTTCATAGTTTTTTGTAATGGATGTCATTCAAATGTTGTTAAGTTATTAGGAAAATCTATTTCTTTATGCATGATATACTCTAAAATTGAATCGCTCTAAAGACCTAAGGGAGGATTTGATATTCTGGACTTAAGACAAGAATTTTTCCTAGTTAAATTTGACAATAGATATGATTTTGAAAGGACTATTGGAGATGGACTTTGGATGATTCTTGATCACTATCTCACGATGAAATCAAAGAATCCTTGCTTTATAGCTTCAACAGGAGCAGTTGGCTTCACCCTTCTTTGGTTAGAATTTTAGACATCTACATGCAATATTATGACAAGAACCTCCTAATGGCATTAGTTTCTAGTATTGGCACTCTTGTCAAGATTGATAAGAATATATCCTAGCTAACCGATAAAAATTACAAGAATTTATGTTGAGATCGAATTAGTTCGTCCTTTAATTTTCCAAATTGACTTGGATGGTAAAACCTACAACATAGTGTATGAAGTCCTATATACTATATATTTTAATTATGGAAGATATAAGCATAAGAAGGGTAATTGACCAATGTTTTGCCCACCTCCTACTTCACTCCTCTTAGAGAACGATATTCTTAATAAAGACATGGATAAGAAAACTAATACATGTATGAAAACTAAATTGAAATCAAGGTTTGGTTAATGGATGATTATGAAAAAATAGATCATGACGTGTTTCAAGGCCAAAGAATCCCGTTAATGTGGGAGTTGAAACATAAAGAGATGAATAAATAATGTCTCATTTAATCTTATTCAAGTTGTGACTCTCTTTTATTGAATTACAAGTGTGTATAGGATAGAACTCTTTGAAGAGTTACAATTCTATATTACAGAGTATATTTATTTCTATTGTTACAATCCTAATTTGGTTGTTATCTATTACAGAGAGAGTTAAGCTTCTTCTCTGTAGTTGTTAGAGAGTCATCCTCCATCTCTGCAACTGGTAGAGTGAAGCTATTGTGGCTGCTATTTTTGGAAAAGAAGACGTGGTTGAAGCTACTAATATAGTGGCATGTCTTAATACTAGAGAAGGAGACGTCGTTGAGGCAACTGCTACGACGGCATGTTTTAATGATCTCCCACAAATTGATAGTGAGCATTTATGAACTGTAAGTTTGTCTCTTAAGAAAGCAAACTGTGTACTAGACAAGAGCTTAGTGAAGATGTTTACTATTTGATCCTGGCTGACGATAAATTTCACTTGTAAGCTCTCCTTGGCAATCAAGTTTTTGACAAAATGAAAATCAGTTTCAATATGTTTCATGCGGGCATGAAATACTGGATTGACTGCTAGGTAGGTAGCCCCTATATTATCCCACCAAATTATAAGAACCATGTGCTAAGGTAACCTAAGTTTGGCTAGAAGAGAAGACACCCAAACCATTTCTACAACTAAATTAGCCACTGCTTTGTATTCTGCCTCAGTGGAGCTATGAGCCATAATTTTTTTTTTAATAATTTCCAAAAGATTAAATTCGGACTAAGAAAAATAGCATAACCACCTATTAATTTTCTATCATCCAAGGAATCAGTCCAATCAGAGTCTGAAAATCCAGAAATGAGGGAGGAGTTGGACTTATGAAGGTGTAGACCATGATTGACAGTGTGTCTTAAGTAAGGCAATATGCTTTTAATAGCAATCTAATGATCCAATTGTGGAGCATGCATAAATTGACAAACTTTATTCATTATATTTACGTGTTTTTTTCATAGATAATTTTAGAATGGTAACTTTTAATTGTTTAGGATTTTTATTGGTTTGCTTGATTTTGTTTCAACTTTTGTGCCTTAATTTTTTCTATTCTATGGACTTGATCCTAATTGCGGAAGGCTTTTTTTCTCTCTATCTCTTCTAATTGCACATTTTCTAATTGTGTTTCTGTTTTCTAACCATAGAATGGTATATATTTTTTTTCCTTAACCATGAGCGTAATTCTGCCTTTTCAATGGCTTGTTTAGGACCATTCTAACTGTGGATTTTAGTTTTGTTTCAGCTTTTCTCTTATGTATATTCAATCCTAATCGGAGTGATAATTTTTCTAATTTGCATTGATTTTTTGTTGAATGATCCATATAGATGTCTTTTAATATTTCATTTTCAATTCAATATTTGTTTTTTATTAAGAAAAAATAGCGGTTGTGAAGTGATTTGCTCTTTTATGCCCTTGATAGATGTGTTAGTTAAGCACTTTTCTTATTAAACTATATTATTTATGTTTTTGTGCTTGGTTCATTTGGCTAAAAAAAATTTCCTAGGCTTCAGATCTCTATTTTAGCTTTAAACCCAGTTGTTATAGCTCCAACAAAAACTTCCTTTGTCTCTATTAATCCAACTTCAATTATCAGCACTACCACTAATGAATCGAGCAATATTTCTACAACTTGTTGCGGTCATAACAAACAATGCATCTCAAATATCGGTCAAGTGGAGGGACTAGAGGCAAATGTTGCGGTGAATCTTCTCAAAGAAGCTTGAATTGACGCTTTGAAATCGATTTTCCATTAAAGAAGATTCTGGATGCATTAATTAAGGTTGTCATAGAAGAATATTACACTCTATCTGAAGAGAAAGACTTGACAATTGGTTTTGTTTCTATGAAAGGGCATGTCGTGTGTTTGTGTTTCTTGATTTGGAGCTTTGCAGTGTTTATGTTCCTCTTGTTTGGAGCTTTGCAGTGTTTATGTTCCTCTTGTTTGGTTTGAGATTGACTAGCTCTTGTGGTGGACTGTTGCCTACTTGAATGATTTAGTGGAAAGGTAATGTGTTTTGTTTCATTTTGTTTGGCAGGTTTAGTTTTGTTCATTTATGATATGACATTGCAATTTTTTGATTGACCTCATAGGTGTTTTGGAGAAGGACCAAGCTAGTTGGAACTTGGAATTGTACGTGATATATAGTCATGTTGTGCATAGTAATGTCAAAGTGAAGGTATTTGATTCAGATTGACGGGACAATTTCTTTCTCAGATGCCTAAATAAAGTCTTGTGAGGTAGCGATTTTTGCGTGTATACATATACAATAATTCATACTCTCTTAATAATATTAGTTATCAGACTTTTGAACTACTATTGTCTAGTATGTATAGAACTACGCTTCGCATTTAATGGCTGCATAAACTAGTAATAGCTATGCCCATTTTTCCTTTTGTGTTCCATATAATGCTTACTCTGCACCATTCGTGCATTTCTTGTACGTTTGTGGGTTGTACTTATATCACTTTTGAAAATTTCAGATCATGCACCCATTTCTTGGTTAGGGAAGCAAAAATTGAAGCAATATGTGAAATGATACTTAAATGTCATTGCTGTGCAGTTCTCTTTTGCTATGGATGGTAAATTGAGGCATGTTACTGCTCAAAATTTGTCCCCTTCTCGATGTAATGCTCTAGTCCAGGTAATGCGGTTTGCCCTATATGTTGTTTTCAAAACTTTGATTTGTTTTTAAGGTTTTTTTTCTTCTTCTTCTTTTCTTTTCTTTTCTTTGCAAGGTACAAATTTCTCTTTGCTCTTTCCAGGTCAATGAAAGGATATTATTTGAAAATAATTAATGATAGTGTTTACAGTCCTGAGCAACATCTCATCCAACTTCTTGCCATGACAAGAAAGCTTTTAGAAACACTTTATTATATTTTGAGAAACACCTCGCGCACAGTTGCTGGAAGAACTGCACCTTTGTTCTTTCCCTTGCGAACTTATCACTTGTACGTACTATTCTGGAGCAGTTTTTGCATTCACAAAATTTCCTTTATGCATGCTGTTTTTAGAATTCCGTTTCGAGAGATGTAGTCAAACTAAGTGGGTTACTAATGTCGAGCCCCTTGTCTTTTATTTTCTTCTGTTCTTGCTACTTATCATCCTTTGCAGTTGTTTCAGCAAGTGAGAGCATTCCCAGCCCTTTGATTCATCACTTCCTTTCCGTAAAATAGGAGTTCATTTTGTTTTAGTATTCTGATTTCTAAGCACCTTACTTAAACTGAATTTGAGAATTCATTATATCATTTCTTTTCTAGATAGTCTGCTGGCATGCTCTCCTGCCGTGGCTTTACCCACATCAATTGCTTTCATCGATCCCTTAATTTAAAGATTCACGAATTTTTTCTCATGATATAGGTGCTCGGTTCATGTAGTCCACATAAATAGTAAGCCAATGTCAATGTTATCTTGACTTGCTTGGGCCTAGTTGATAGCCCATGGCTTGATGACGTTGAAAATCAACGTCAATAGGTAGCGAGTCTACACTAAATAATGCGGCACTCTCCTGTCCTAACGCTAGTTTATCACTTTTTCAGAAACACAATTCAAATGTGAGATTCCTGTTTCCGCCTTGGCCTGGCTTGACATCTCATCTTACCGCCCTGAGCTTTACAGCCACATGATTTTCCCATCTGGTGATAATTTGTGGAAGCCTGCTGGCAAAGGCATGTCTTCCCCACCTTCTGTTGTTCTTAGCTGATCCTATAATCCCAGCCTAGCCAGCTATTGGCGTGACTGATGTTGGGTATTTTCCATGAATGATTCATTCCTGATGCCAAAGGATGAAGCACTTCTCATGTTGAAACCACTAAAAAATTTATTACAATTAACTTCTATATCAAGTACATCACTAACTATAGAAGCATTTAAGTGCGTAGAAATCATCCAATTAGCAGATTCTGTGATCCTTCTCTGATATTTAGGACTATTCCTGGCGCAAAATTTTACCAAATCCATGAGCATATCCTATCCTCTAGAACAGTTTCCACCTAGACTGCGAAATTCTACCAGCTGATCTACTCATCGCCCAATCAGACCATCCAGATTGGTAGTGTGTGATTTTCAACCAAGGGTTGAGATTGAAATCAGTCAGCGGAGGACGGATTTATCTTTAATGCTTTATAGATCTCACCTGGTTGGAGGTTGCTACAATCCAAATATCGGCAATTGTCAATTATAGGCATTGTATCATTAAATTTTAATCTAGAGGATCCGTTTCTAATGTGTTATTCAATTCTCGTGGTTTAATGAATTCTGCCAATGCTGGTATTTTAGACTTCAAGCAGATTTAAGTGCTAACCAGTTGATGTCACATTAAAATGAGTACAGAAAATCCAATCAACTATGACTCAGTTACTTTTGAGGTTGACCGCTACATGGACAGTCCAAAGGATGATAGCAACCATTACATGTGTCAGTGGTCATTGTTATATGTATATGTATATGCATGTTGTTTATTATTTATATTATTTTTCCTGATATATGATCTTTGGCTACTAGTAAAGTTTTCTCATAGAGAGAGGGATGTGGAGGAAATGGAGGGGCCTTTGTGAGTTCAATTAAGACAAATAAGATAGAATGTTCAAACAACTAATCAGTAGTGCCACCTGCAACACTAGGAGTCAATGACCAGAGGATCAGAAAGTCTTGGGATATGATTTGTTGTAAACAAATCTTATTGGTAGTTGAATAACTCCTGATGAAGAGAACAAAATAGAAGTAAAATCAGTCAAACTTGGCAAGTCTGAAAATTATATAATATTTACAAAATGGAAAGTAAGAATAACATATGGTTATTATGATTTATTGTGGGTAGAATTGAACTAAGACAGCATCAAGTTAGGCTGTCAAAAGTACAATCACAAGTTTTGAACGCTTAATTGCTGCACTATCAACTAATTGTCTTCTTTTGTTAACATGAAAATTCTTTATCTACCAAAAAAAAAAAACATGATGCTTCTTTATTGTGTTAAAAGGACAGCATAACAAGACGTCGGAGACACTTTTAATGGAAGTAGTTCAAACTTGCAAGAAGGGATTAGAAAGAATCTCAGATAAAGACAGCTCTTATAATTCTATAGGCCCTTTTCTTCGTAGTCTTTATGAGGAGACAATAAAGCATCTAATTTGACAGTTAGATCATAAGTTAAATGGAGGAGCCTGAAATTCACTAGCTACAACTTGATTACGAGTGGTAGTGCCTTCACTTGAAGTAATTCTGTTTTGTGGCTTTTGCCCTGAGAGGTGGTTTTTTTCCCCCCTTGTGAACCTTGAGTGGCTATTTCATGCTAGGCCACCTCTTGTTCTAGCATCCAAGATATGGAGAGGGAAATGCCACTTTTTTTAGGGTTGGGCTAGGATGGGAAGTGGGGATGAATTGTTGTAATCAATGAAAGTTTTATTTGTTTATAAATGATAGTGAAGCCTTTTTAGCTAGCTGTACTTAAAGGCAAAGATTTGGTGTAATCCACCTATAATATTTTAAGTTTGTGGAATAAGGATAAATTATTTTTAATAGAGCAAATTGTACTTAAAGCGAAGTTTAAGTATAATCAAAAGGAAAATTCAAGTTATTGAAGCGAGCCTGTGTGACAATCATTTGACGTGTCCCTTCCATCCATCGGCATCTCGTGCTGGTATCTGGTTCAAATCCAGCAAGGGCATTTTCGTTGTCCTGTGAATATGGGGTGACCTGGTTTTGTTCTCTGAAACTGCTGCATTAAACAATAGCTGGTCCTATTCTTTTTCAGTCCTGTGAAAATTCTCCTGTTCTCAGTTAATGATCTCTTGGGTGTATATATTTTTAAATATAACCATCAAATCATTGATGGTGTCTCTTAACCTCCATAACATGTATTGTTGAGAGCTAAACTCACATGAAAAAAGTGCATTAGGTCAGCTTATCTTAGAATACAAACAACTGGTGTTGGAAACCTTTTTATTATTATCTCTGCTTTTGTTTTGTCATTTCACAATAACTACCAACAAATACTAAAGTCTGTTTTATTTGTAACAAACACATTACTGTCTATCCCCACACATAGAATGAATAAAAAAATGGAGCGGTTTTGGACTCTTATCATTTTTGCGTGTTTGATAATGGGAGTGAATATTCATGTTTTGAGTTGAAAATAGGACTCTATATGAAAATAAAACTATCTTTGGGTCCTAGAAAAGCACCAGAGCTTAAAAGGATAGTAAACACATTAACATACAAAAATAAATGATGTCGCCTCTGTTGGATGCCCCAAATTCAGGTCACCACTAGAATGCCATGCATCTTCAACATGGCTCCTACGAAGAAAATCTTGCTGTTATCTCAGGATTACTATATCTTTTTACAGGATAGATAAACTAGAAAGCTTTCTGCATGTAGCGTGTGATCGTCATAGTCATAATCGTATCAAAGCATTTCATCGCCATTTTTTATCAAGTTCTCTGCCCAGCAAAGTACCAGCTGTCAAGCACGTTAGGGATACATTGGATCGAAAAATTACAACACCGTAAAACTATTCAGTGCAGTCAAAACCTTGTATGCATTTATGTGATGCTTTTAGTTCGATTGCAGTGACCTTTCACAATCATCAACTACATACAACTGCCATGGTATGGGTTCACTCGGATTTGGGGATCAATTTTCAGTGTTTACCATCCACATGCAATAATTACCTCACTTTTATGGTGTTGTTTATTGCTATCGCCCTTTTTGGTGCTCGATGTTTTATTGTGTCTCATGCAAAGGAGGCAATCTCTCTGGCACGCCATAATGCATAGTAATTTTTTAGATTTTCAACAAGGTATTTTAAGGTTTTCGTTTACATAGGTGCCTAGGGGGAATTGACAGACACATGGTACCATGATTTTTGGTGAGAATGAGGATTAGGCTCATGATTAGCGTTTTGGGATGAATTAAACAAGTCACAATGATACAAGTATTTAGACATTCTTTGTTTTCTTCAATTTATACTCAGCTCGCCTTTGCAATTTTTGTTATTTTGGCTCAGAACCTAAGCATTAATTGTTGGATTGGAGACCAAATCAGGAATTAGCTTTTCATTTTTACTGTAAATACAAGCTTTGGGTGTGGCTTCTTAGGAACAAGTGGCTAATGACATGAAAGTAGTCCATTATTTGACTTCACATGTTTATGATATTTTCATCACTCGAACAGAACGCAAGGTTAGGGAATCATCTAGTACTCTATTATTGCAGGGCAGCAATGCTTGAGACTGAAAATCATGTGAAGGTCTGTCCAATAGAAGCCTTTGGATGGGTCTCTCCATGAACCCAAAGAGTGCGACTAGAGGAGAAAGCAACTGCTACAGCTCCTCGACAGTGTCTATCATGATAAATAGGGATCTCTTCAAATAAAAATCTCTTCTACAGAAAAAGCTTGGGGTCCAATGCAGGAAATGTGGAGCATAACTGTCCACACCTCACCAAGGAGCAAAATTCCAAACCACTTCCAACAAATACCAAAAAAAAAAAAGAAAAAAAAAAAAAAGAGGAAATAGGAAAGTGCCAGAGGAACAACCCACATTGCACATGCATTTTTCCATTGTTTATGATTTCTTTACTGGATCATCACCTCCATTAATCATTGCACGGAATGAAAACCAATATTTTATATGGGACCCATACTCTAGTCAAATTAGTGGAAGCCAACACAACCATCTTCTTCCAATCCTTCATTGACACATCATCCGCCCATTCTCTTTTATTCACCCAAGGTTGCCATCTGTTTTCCTAGCCTGCTTGTCTGAATTCTGAAGCCATTCCTAATAACCAATATTCGGGTTGAAATTGTCAATAGTCAACTTCAAAACTCCCACCTTATTGGTAAACGGGGTTTTTGTTATCGAAATTGGTATTATTTTTTCAGTGATGATATTTCGAAATTTAAAAAAATTTAAAATTTTATTACTCAGAATTGCTTTTCTTCGAATATAAAACGTCAGAAGGTAATTGTCATTTATTTTAATTTAATTAAGGATGATGTTCTCCTCGTTTCATAAATTCTTATTCTACTTCCACTACTTTTTATTGTGACCAATTTAACCTTATTTCATATGACACTTTAATTATAATAATTCAAGTTATACAACCTGAAATCTCAAAATAATTCCTCTTTAGTAAATATTTATATTTGGGATGGTTGTATTGTAAGTACACTAATTTTTAACATTTTTTCAATTAAGTATATACATTTTAATTTTTTTATTTAAATATACTAATTTTTCAAAATTAATTAACAATTGATTATTTTTCATCCAATTTTTGTCGATTGCTCTACAATAGAATGATATGTCCTTTTTTTCTATACTTTGAATTATGTTTTTGTCTCTTCATTATTAGATGAAACTTTTTTATTTTGTCAATTTCTACTTTTTGTACAATAAATATCCAAATTATCCTTAATTCTAAAAAGTAAAAGGAGATAGAATAACTTGAAAGAGAAAGTTCCATTTAAAAATGAAAGTTCATAATCATAATTTAGTAGTCCAGAATAAAAAACACATCATTAGTTAACAGAGCAATTGATCGAAGTTAGAATAAAAATATTTGATTGATAATTTAAAAAAAAAATCAATACACTCTAATGAAAAAAAAATTCATATACTCAATTAAGAAAATATTAAAAATTTATGTACTTATACAATTATGTCTTAAATATTTAGCATGATGTTTGTGTATAAAAAGAAAAAAGAAAAACAGAACATATGTCTGAAAAGTTATAAATATGCTTTTAAAAATAAGTGAACTACAATCCTATAAGTTTGATTTTTTAAATGATTTTTTTAATTTTAAATTTTAAAACTCCATAACATTGATACAATAAATTATTATCGAAAAAGACAAGTTAGTAACGGTTAATTTTTAGAGTACAAAAAGTTAAAGATGAATCATAAACTACTGTCAATATTCCATTTTCAGGCCGTATAATCATATTTTTAGACTAACTATTCGGTGAAAGGAACAGTTTAATATTTATGGTTTTAATTGTAATTGAAGAAACATATTAAAAATGCCATATTATTAATTGTAAAAAGGAGTACATCAGTGAGAATAACAATTAATAAAATATCACCATCCTTAAATTGATCAAAATGGAGACAGTTTCATGGAAATCCCATATCTCCAAAGTTTTGATGCATTGGACGCCATTGATGAAGAATGTGGATCAAGTTAAACATATAACGTATATGGTCTATCCTCTTAAAACTTGACACTTGTATCATCCTCTGTCGGTTAAGTTCGATCAGAATTTTGACCATTCAAGAATTCATAAAAACTGCACTCCTGAAATTACATTACAGCAACCAAACAAAAACAAAAAATGATAAGTTGGTTACCTTTCTCTTAATTTTATCGGTGTAGATAAACACTAGAACTTTAGTAGCAGTCCGGGCATTAGGACTGACACACGGTGCACTATCCATTCCAATAGGCACGACAGAAAATAAAATGGCCAGAAAGGATTGGAAATCTGATGTGGCCACCATAAAGTTCGTTAAATATTGTACAATTTGACAATAACGACAACACAAGAAGGGCAATTTCGTCATCCAAAAACAGTGTAGTAGCATCCATATTTTGCTTCCACACAAAATCATTCAAAACAAACAGGCACATTATAAGACAGAGGGTCAGGGGGTAGAGTCTGGACCATACATAATTCGACCAAAAGGCACCCTCACAGACCATACAAAGTAGTAGTCGTAGCAGCAGCAGCAAGTAAAGTAGCAATAGGCCAAAATTGAAAAAGGCGAGGCAGGCCTAATGGTTAGAAAGAAGCAGCAGTGCACCACCACCACCCCCACACCACACCACACCACACCACACCAACCCATCAAAATACAGAAAAATCAATTAATCAATTTTTGGGTTTTAACTTTTAATGAAATGAACGCGTGCTCTGTTTTGATTCCTTTATAACCCTCTCCACCACCGTCTTCTCTCTTTCTTCCTAAACAGAATCGACACCTCACCTACTCTCTCTCCCTTCCTCTCTCAGTTTCTTTCTTTCTTTCGTAAATACTGCATAGATCATGATACATAGCTAGCTCTCTCTCTCTCTGAAAGGTAACAGTCTTATCCTTAATCCGTTTGATACTTGATTCTTGCGTGCATTCAGTTTTGAATCCCATCAAACAATTACTTTGCTTTTATCATTAATAACTCAATCTTGATCCTAATCACATCCTTATTAGCATCAAACCTGTTTCTATGGTAATTAATCCAATCGCTAATAAAAAAATCCTTTTTTTTCTCCTTAATTTTCATGAATCTGATCTCAGAATTTTCTTTCTTTTCCACATGAATCTAAATTTCTTCTTTTCTTTTTTGAATCAGAAACAGAACCAGAAAGGAGCTGACAGAAAAAACAGAATTTTGATAACTTTTGTTATTGCCAACACCTAATATTCAAAAGATTGATGATGGAATCATCACCATCAGCAGCAGCGATAGTGAGTACAAACGCCAACATCAACATGGATCGAACAAGAAGAAAAAAGAAGAAGAAATCACAGTCGCAACAACAACAATCAAAACAGAACAAAAATTCGCAAAGCCACGCCAAGTGGAAAACAGATGCACAACAACAAATCTACTCATCCAAACTCATCCAAGCCTTAAGCCAAGTCAATATCAACCCTTCGTCTTCATCAGCTCCGCGTCAAGGTCGAGCCGTTAGAGAAGTTGCTGATCGAGCTTTAGCTTTCGCAGCTAAAGGTAAAACCAGGTGGAGCCGAGCCATTTTGACTAGCCGGATTAAACTAAAATTTCGGAAACAACAGCATAGGAGACAGAGATTTGCGTCTTCGTCTTTTTCTTCTTCTTCAGGATCTACGGCTGTTACAACCGGGAGTAGCAGCAGGCCGTCGAGGAAACATAAAGTGAGTATTTTGAGGTTGAAAGGGAAGGGTTTACCGGCTGTTCAAAGGAAAGTTCGTGTTCTTGGCCGGTTAGTTCCCGGTTGCCGGAAACAACCATTGCCTGTTATTTTGGAAGAAGCTACAGATTATATTGCTGCTTTGGAGATGCAAGTTAAAGCCATGTCTGCTATAGCTGAGCTTCTTTCTCGCTCTAACTCCGGAGCCGGCTCTACTTCTGAGCCGATGAGCTCCTGATTGGCTTGTATTGCCAGATGTCGTTTTCTGGTTTTTTTCCTATATTTTTTCTTTTAACTCCTGTTAAATATTTGTCTTTCTATCTTCTTCTTCTTTTTTTTTTTTTTAAAAAAAAAACGTATTCTATTTTCTTTGTTTTTAATCCTTGAGAAATGTTAATTAATTATAATAAATTAACTCGTTAATTAAAATTCTTCCTCAACAATGTGTAACCTTAATTTGTATACAAAGTTGGCAAGCGATTCTATTTTACCTCTTTGGCTTATTGAGTAGGGTAAAATTTTATTAGGGTGTGATAATCTTATTTGAGGTACAAAACAAAGGTTGTTGATTTGTTAACTTCTTGGTGTATGGTGTTAGAAATTAGGTAATCTTAACAAAAAAAATAAATTAAATTAAATATTCACCACGAGGTAGAATTTATGTGATGAAACTCACAATTATTTATGGTGTACGTATTACTGGTTTTATATGGTAATTAAGAAGAACATGAAATTGGTTATCTAGGCTATGCATGTACAAATGGTATCCAATTATGTGTGATTCCAAGCAAATATTTCCATCAAACTGTGAAATTAAAATGTCTAATCTCTTTCACTTGTGATTGAAAGAGATTAGGCAAATCCCAAGGCTACTATATATGATTTTGTCAGCAGCCTCGTAAAATTTGCAACGCCTTTTGATTTCTTGAGGCAATCTATGTTGGATTTATTCATCTATGTTATTACCATATATAATCTGAAAACGAAAAAGACACCCCATTTGTAATTGTTGTATGATTGGGATGTCCATTTGAGGATGTATGGAGTAAGTAACCATAATCTTCCAATTGGGAGATGTATTTTTGGTAATCAAAGTACCTAATTAGCTAAAACAGACTGTTTTTCTTGAACATTCAAGTCTACAGCCCTGAAATGGATAGATAGTGCCAGTAAAAGAAATATTATTGTATTTTGCAAAAAACTGGTCCCAAAGATCATGTGGCCGATTGTCCCCACCGGATAAAGTCATAAGAAATCTTGCAGCCTAGGTCACTGGCCCTCTTGTAATTAAGCACAGAACGCACAAGACAAGGGTTCTTTCTGTCAAGAGGGATAGCGTCGAAGAGGCCTGACGGGGTGACACCTGTTCCAATTGTCTTCAGATGAAGGAGAGCCAGCTATCATTTTCTATGGCAGCGGACACACAATTGAGGCACACGAATGCCTGTGTTTCATCACTATCAGTTAGGATTGGGATTTGAGGGGGTAGAGAGTGAGAGTGCAGACACTTCGATGATTGAAATTTTTCTAAAAGGACCACTAACGCTGGACACGCTACCCTACGTTATTTTTGCTTGCATAGGTCTCAAAAAGTGATCATTTTTTTCAGAGCACATGCTTTGTATTCATTTTGTTCAGGCATACAAACAGCCATAGTACACATGCACCCATGTGCCTTATTTAAGCTTCTCTCTCTCTCTCTCTCTCTCTCTCTCTCTCGCGCTTTTCTTCAGTATATCCACAGTTAAAAAGATTCATTTTGTAGCTTTTGAATTAACCACCGTAAAGCCAATAGGTTTTGACCGAACGGAGCCAAGAGGATGTGATTGTTACCATGACTTCAAATAATCGGCGACTTCATTTTTTATGACGAAAAAAATAAGTAAATTGATTTTATCTACTTAATTGATCGATCAGAAAAAAAATTAATTGATTTAATAGAAGATATGGTAAGGTGAAGACAAGGAAGAAAAACCCATATAAAAAGGATGGTCAGGCTTTGGCCGTCCACATCGCCCCACTAATTCATCGGGTGACAAATTGACTCAGAAGCATTAAACAATTTTAAGAGAAGAAGCAGCCATACAGGCATTTGCTTTAACGTCATTCTTGCCTGTAACGTCCTTTCAATAGCACGTGTTCAGGATCATAATTTCCAACAAGAAAAACAGATTTTCAAGCAGCAAGGATAACAAGGTTAATCCTCTGTCGTATCCTTACATGATAGATTAATTTTCTTAATCTATCACTAAATTTTAAAATATTTCTAATCAATCCATCATTAATGGTAAAAAAAATCTATTGTATTATTATTAATTTTTTTTCTAATAATTTGTAGCATTGTAATGAATTTTTTATTAATTAAAAATTTATAAAAATAATTAGTACAAGTTATATATAACTGTTCAAGAAATTAAAAAAAGTAATTACATTTAAGTAATTATTAATTACTATCTTAAACATGTAATTAAAAAATAAATAATTATATTTAAGTAATCGTTAGTTAGTCCCTTAAACATGTAATTAAAAAAATAAATAAATAAATATTTTTTTAATTACATAATTATTTATTTTTTGGACGAGCTTCACATTTTTTTTAAATATAATTTAATATATTGGTAAATATTATATCAATTTGTTCAATATTATGCATAAGTTAATTATTATAACATAATATATTTTTTAGTATTTAAAATATGTTACATAACAATTTCTTAAACAGTTATATAATAACTTATACTAATTATTTTTATATATTTTTAATTAATATAAAAATTAATAATAATAATATAATTGACTCTTCAGCATTAAGGACAAATTAAAAACTCAATCCATTATATAAAAATACATTAGAAACTTAACATGTTAAGATATAAAAGGTATGTTTGTCAAAGTAAAGTCATGTGATATTTTCAGATAGTTTGATCGAAAAAAATGACTAAAATGACACATTAAAAACCAGTTCAAATAATAAAAATAAATCATAGGCATTTAACAATTTATGAACAGATTAAAATTTTAATTTATTATATAAATATAGACAATGATATTAATCCAAATTGATATTCCATTTGTTTCGTCTTTGCCAACTGTTAAAAAGAGCTCTTCCAAAATCGCTTCCCGGAAATATCTCGGCAACCGAATCGGCAGATTTTGTTAGTAAATCTTACAAATTTAATTTTTAAGATTATTTGACAAGTGATTTCAATAAGATCAATACTATTGTTGGTGAAGGTTTTGCACAACAAGCATGAGGGTAATAAGTTTCATAATAGATTTATTATTAATTTCTTGGTTTGATTTTTATAGTTTAGACGGCAAGTTTTCATCATTTTGAGTGCTTTGGATAGAAAGCAATTATTATGATTTTGATTTGAGAGCTGAAGACAACTTGTTAATTAATCAATCAAAACATTTAAACAACAAACTTAGGGAAGCTAAAAAGCCTTTGTCATCCATCACACTAGCTAGCTACCATATTAAATGAACCAATGCACACAAATCATGTGCATCTCCAAAATAAGGAATCACCAATAATTGCTCTGAAACTAAAAAAAAAAGTATCTCTAAATTGAGGTGTTAATTAAAAAATAAAAAATAAATACCATTTGAATCTATCGTAATAGATAAATAAATAAAATCAGTGGAAGACAACAATTGAATCACCTAATCCTTTCAAATTAATAATGAAATGACATCTAAGTAGGTGGCACTTTTGAAAAAAGTCTATAAATTGTTTTTTTAGTAGAAAATATAATTTCATGAATACTAAAACATAATTATTGCTCTCTTAATCTAGAAAGATTATTTATCTTTTTATTTGTATATGTCTTAGAATGCAAGTCTTATCAAATTGTAAGTGGTATATTTTACTAAATACTCCTAATTAAAATTCATTTTGAAAAAAATTATTCAAATACAATTTTAAAAAAATATAAATAAAAGATATTGATATGACATAAAACTAATAATATTTTAATATTTTTGAAAAGTAAAAAAGAACAAGTTTTTTAGACACGAGGAGTATAATTTTCACAAGATTTAATTATACATTACAAGTCTGCTAATCAATTCTATTCAAGTAAAAAAATGCTTGCTTGTTAAAACATAAAAAATTGACTTTTCGGATAGTATTTCGTCTTATTCATTTCACTGATTTTCTAAAAACAATTTGACATTTTTTTTCGAAGCTGTCCATAACGTAATTTTTTTTCCCATATATTTCAAACTGAAAAATCTCATGCCATCACCTATTAATGGAAGAACGGGCTGTATTGCGCTTGAGGTCGTAGCCTAACGGAACAAGGGTTTACTCCATGAGGACCACCAGGGTTCGACTTTTTCTGAACACGCCTGTCACCTCCGCAGTGTCTTATATACTCATTGGGCTTGTAGGATGTTCGGTGAACTCCGGAGATTAATTAAGGTGCACGCAAGTCGGTCCGAAACCTTGAATTAACAAAAAAAAAAAAAAAGAACAGATAGTACTATCAGATTTTATTGACATAAATAATAAGTCTGTAATAAAGTGTTGAAATCTCTCTTTTTTTTAACAGATTCGACAATTACGAATTTTTTCTCGACACACCAACAACCCAAAAACTCATATATCGAAGACAAAAAAATCAAATAAATCTACAATTTTTAGATCATGTAGATCTAAATTTATAATTATTTGAGCTATTAAAAAAATAAGATTCAATAACTAAATCTGAAATTATTAAAATAACAAAAATTTATATTTTTATCTGTCCAAACTGGCAGAAGGAATGAGGCATTTAGAAAATGAAATTAAGTTATTCATATCTTCTACTCAATAACTATTTAATACGTATTTAATCTCCCAACCAGAAAAAAACAATTTTGTTGGCGTTAACTACACGAAACGCATGATAAACATGAAGTTGCATGTTTTAAATCATCAGAATGGAATCTACAGTGAATTTTGTATGTGGCATGCGGGGGCTGATTTTGTAACAGTCTTTGTTTTTTCAGGTTCATAATAAGAGTGTCAGCTAGTTTTTACCTATCTCTCGGTATTAATTTCTTTTTCAATGTAATTAAAAAATATTTTTCAACACACGATTTTAAATATTATAAATATTAATTCTAAAAAATATTAATCACAAAAATTTATATCAATCGATAATTGTTTAAGATCAGTTGACTAGCACTTTGTGGTGGTTATAACAGTCATTGTTGCTACTTCACATCGGCGACCAAATTTCAGGGCTTTAA